ACTTAATAAGAAAGACTGATACTATTAGAGAATAAGTCTACCATTTTTGGTAACTCTATCACTGAGCAGGCTGCACAGGAGATCTGTCAGATAACTAGGCCAGATCTTAAGAATTTGATGTACTTCTTCAATGAGTAATCTTGAGGTCCACACAAAATATTCCTGCTAATGATTAAAATGCTCAAGAATTCAAGTTCAAGAAGGTTGTTTAAAACAAATACAAACTGGTTAAAGGACAACAATTTATTTTAAATCCAAATGAAACAGTAAAAAATCAGATAAAAGAATTCCTAACTGACCTGAATATTATTTTGGAGAGAAAAGCAGTATACAAATCTGCTGAGTAAGGGAGGAGTTGAAGTCTACCCATCTGTAGGGCACACAACCAGGGACGCTACCTCGAAGAACATCTTCCCTTTCATCAATTTTTCAGGCACTTACGAATTTTGGAACTTTTGGTTTTCGATACAGTATGTATTTCTCTTTCTGCAAAGAATGGAAACAGAGAAAGAAAAGGCCCAATGCCTCTGTCTAACCCACAGGTGTTACACGGCAGTGAGCTGTAATGCTAGTTGTAGATCACGAGAAAAGGTTGACATGGTAGAAGGGCATAGAGATATAAATTGTAATAGTAATGATGTCAATGATGATAAGAGCAACAACAACAATAACAACAATAATAATACGTTGTTGAGAATGAGAGGGTGAAGACCTTGTGGGACTTTCGAATACAGATAGATCACCATTTGGAACACAATATGCCGGATATTGCAGTTGTAGAGAACCAAAGCGTACAGCTGATTGATATTGCTGTACCAGGAGATGCCAGAGTTGAAGGAAAAGAACTGGAAAAAATTACAAAATATCGCGATCTGGCCATCGAAACTGCGTGATTATGGATGAAACAAGTAACGGTGGTCCCCATTGTCATTGAGGCACTGGGAACTATGTCCAAAAACTTTGCAAAATACATCAAGAAACTGCAGCTTCCTGCAATAACTCCAGCAACGTTACAAAAAACTGCGCTACTCGGAATATCTTATATTTAAGGAGATACCTGGTTGACACCTAGGATGCTGGTAGCAACCCGTGTCAACCATCAGCGCCAGCCAATTTGAATGTTCAGTTGACTGAGGTTCATGTTTAATGAATAAAGATAATAATAATAAAATAATAACAACAACAATAATAATAAAGTTGGAAGGGACCTTGGAGGTCATTGAGTCCAACCCACTGCTCAGGAAGGAAACCCTATACCATTTCAGACAAATGGCTGTCCAGTCTCTTCTTGAAAACTTCCAGTGTTGAAGCATTCACCACTTCTGGAGGCAGGTTGTTCCACTGGTTAATTGTTCTAACTGTCAGGATGTTTCTCCTTAGTTCTAGGTTGCTTCTCTCCTTGATTAGTTTCCATCCGTTGCTTCTCATCCTGCCTTCAGGCACTTTGGAGAATAGCTTGACTCCCTCTTCTTTGTGGCAGCCCCTGAGATATTGGAAGACTGCTATCATGTCCCCCCTCATCCTTCTCTTAATTAAACTAGACATTATGACTTTCTTTGTTTTGGTGATGGACATCTTTGCAGATTGAGAGGAAAAAGAATTTGACACTCAGATGAGAGTGCCAAATATGAGTTTTCAAATATACTTATTGTATTTATTTCCTAAGACTTCTATGTCATTTTAATCAACAAAGATCCAGCGGCTTACAAAACCCTATACAATAAGAGATTTAAAAACAATAATTTATATCCATTGCAAAGAAAAAGACAATTACAATTAAAATCTTATCAGAGCACGAGTATCCATTTGGAGAAAATCAAACAGTGTGAGAGGATTTAATGGTGAAACTGTTACTAAGCGTGAAGGGACAGGGAGAGGCTATGTCCACACATTCAATTGTCATTGAAATGATATTTTTCAAGCATGAGGCAATAAGCATGGAGACATTGCAGCTAGAGCCTCCACCTTTTTTTCATCGGTGCACACATTCATGTACAAATTTTGAAATGACATGGTCGATTAGTAGATCAGCACCTTCCAAATAAGGATCTCCTTTTAGGAACAGATTTCTGATCTAATTGAGCTCAGGGGCAAACAGGGGTTCTACATATTGTAGAGTCAAAGAATTGGAAGATGACTCAGAGGTCCACCCATCTGCTCCATGTAAGACTGCAAAATATTTTAGACAGATGGCTATGGTTGTAAGGTTTGCAGTTAAGGTGAATATACTATTTCACGAAATACCTATTTCATTATATCAGAGTCACCGGTTGAGATGGATGGCTATAGAAATCAAATAAATTTATCAATAAATAAACTGGCATTTTTACTTTCAGAAAATTCCTCCTAGTATGTAATCCAAAGTGACTTTCCTGGAATTTTTGGTCCTGCCAACTGAAGCAAGAGAGAACAATACCACCTCCTCTTTCATTTGACATCCCTTCCGATATCTTTAGAAAACTCATCTCCCATCTCCCCTTTCTCTTGTTTTTACAGGCTAAGTGCACCGACTAATTTCAACAGTCCCTCACTATTTTTGTAGCCCACCTCTTAACTTGCACCAAGTTGTGGCTATTCTTTGTAGACTGAGCTGATCAGAACTGGACAAATGGCAGCTGACTAAAACTACGTAGAATGAAACCATTCCTTCTCATCATCTGAATCCCATGCTCTTGTTATTCATCCCAAAATAGTGTTTACCTTTTAAGCAGCAATATCCTGCTTGGGTCTGATCTTCAGGCTCATGTTACTTTTGAAACTGTATGAGGTAACTGGTTGTTTTTTTTAACTTCTTAAATTACTGAATGCAGAAGGAAGGAAAGGAAGGGAAGGGAAGGGAAGGGAAGGGAAGGGAAGGGAAGGGAAGGAAGGAAGGAAGGAAGGAAGGAAGGAAGGAAGGAAGGAAGGAAGGAAGGAGACCTAGAAAAACATGCAACACATGTGTCAAACAAAAGCATTTCTAGATATATTGACATATTATGTAAGGACATTATACATTCCACTGCAGGATGAAAGCCCTTTGTTGAAGGTTCATCTATTATGGAGGACCAAGGTGGGTTAATAAATAGAGAATTTTTAGCTTATCGGGGAGGCTGGAGGACTGGCCTAAAGTTATTTCAGTTGGCTTCCGTGCCTAACGGAAAACTAAAACCTGAATCCCCTTGGCCCTAGTATACTACTTTAACGATTGTCACACTGACTCCTATAATTAAATTCTTAAACCAGTTTTCATAAGACAGTACATGAAGTTTACATTTCTAAATAGCCCTCCAAATAATATTTTCGGTTGCATTTTCAAATGGAAAAAGAGTTTCTCAGATCATACAAAATGAGCAGAAAGCTTTTTCATACCTTGCAAATACCTTTTCAAGTTAGATCAAGCGGCCAGGTGCTGCTCTTGTCAGATTGAACAAAACCAGCAATTAGGGTTAGGGTTTGAGTAGCAAATTCTTAATCCTTTTCTAGTTTTTGGAATTTACCAGCAATAATGATGTTGCTAGGTAAATTTAGTTATAGCATCTGTGGGTGCAGATGCATTCACCTAGCACAGTGGTTCTCAACCTTTTTAATGCCGTGACCCCCAACCGGTCGTAAGTCGAGGACTACTCAACCGGTCGCAAGTCGAGGACTACTCAACTGGTGCAGCACCATTTGCAGAATGGGACTTTTGGCGGGCTCAGCAGGGCAGAGACAGCCTGGACAATTCCTATTGGCTTTTGAAGGCCAATAGAATTAGATTCTATTCGAGTCTATTCTATTGGCTTTCAAAAGCCAATAGAATAAAAGGGAGTAGCACAGCTAAGGAAAAGGGGGGAAAAAATGGCGGACTGCGTTGTTTGGCGACCCCCGTGAAATGGTCGTTCCACCCCAAATGGGGTCCCGACCCACAGGTTGAGAACCACTGACCTAGCAGTAAGTGTTCAGTTGGTAACGTCTCATGTTTCCAATCTTAAATCGATTTTTTTCTCATGAGTGTCTCCGATGTGGTTTCTAAAATCTTCACAAAATGTATTAATATCTTTATATACTTTTCCTCATTTATCATACAATGTAAGGATTGAAGGAGATCATTTAGTACAATCTCTTACCCAGTACAAGAAACTCTATTGCAATGTGTATGACAAATGGCCACCCAACTCTTACATCTGGCAGAGGGGAGACTACTATCTTTATAAATATATTGAATAACACAGCCCAGCGGTATACCACTTGATTCCTTCTAATCTGATGTTGAGCATTAACATACTGTACATTCCTTGAGTACTTGCTCATCCAGATCTATATTCAACCTACATTTTACTATCTTCTCTTGTAGACTCTCATTTATTTATATACCTGTTTTACACAATCTATAACTCACTTCAGCCTTGACAAAGACTTTGTCAAATGCTTTGCCGAAACTAAAGTATACAATATCCACTGAGATCACATAAGCTGATCATTCTATCAAAGATGATTAGGCTGCTTTGGCATGAATTGTTCTTGATAAACTCATGCAGGATCCTGACACGCTATGCATCCTTTACTAAGTGCATACAACCCAACTGCTTAAAAACTGTATCTGGGTATCTATGAATCTTCTTTCTTTTTAGATGATGTCAGGTTGGCCCTTTTGGCAATTCGCTTTATAATTTGTTTTGGAAATAATTTGTGCAGAGGAGCTGCACACTTCCATAGTTCTCTCCTAGCTGAACCAGCAATGAATATGGATGCCCAGTGTTAATCAGCTGTTAAAAATTAAAATCATTTAATTTATTTATAAATGATAATTTATTTATAATTAAAAACAATGATAAAATGTTTCAGATGACCAGAGGGTCTTTTCATACTCTGCAATTTCTTGGTCTTGTAACAAATGATTGTGTTATTATTGTTATCATTATTATTTTATCAGTATATATAGGCCACTGTGCATGAATCCACCCACTCATAAAATCAGATATTTTATTTGCCTAGATCTCAGACTAATGTGCTGTGTTGTTGTTGTGTTATGGTGACAGGATCATCAGAACAAAAGTACAACAGCCTTTTCACCCAACACCGGATGGGAGTGGAACAGGGGTAACTGCATCTGGACATACTATAGGTAAGCTGTTTAGGTAACATTAAAAAAATATCATGAAAGCATCATTAATACCAAAGAAGCCCCTAGTTGGACTTTATTTACCTAGTGTATGGCATCTAGTTGGACTGATGTCAGCTGAATTGGAATTCAGGTCCCAAACCACTGAAAATTTTATGAATAAATGTATCATTTAACCCAGTGGTTCTCAACCTTTTTAATGCCGCGACCCCCGACCGGTCGTAAGTCGAGGACTACTCAACCGGTCGTAAGTCGAGGACTACTCAACTGGTGCAGCACCGCTTGCAGAATGGGACTTTTGGCGGGCTCAGCAGGGCAGAGACAGCCTGGACAATTCCTATTGGCTTTTGAAAGCCAATAGAATTAGACTCTATTCAAGAGAGTCTATTCTATTGGCTTTCAAAAGCCAATAAAACAAGCTAAGGAAAAGGGGAAAAAAATGGCGGACTGCGTTGTTTGGCGAACCCCGTGAAATGGTCATTCGACCCCAAATGGGGTCCCGACCCACAGGTGGAGAACCACTGATTTAACCAAATAAATCTTTTGATGAAATGCTTAAATATTATGCATCCACGCAGGAGATCCTCTTGTCTTGAGCAACAACTGATGTGCTGTTCCATAATATTATGGAAGCTTATTTCTCTGAATCACAGAGCTCTTCTGTATTAATGGTGTCTTATTTTCCCCATAAAATTGTTGCCCACAATTCTTTATAGTTTCTAAAGCTGAAAAATAACTCTTCCTACTTTCTGAATAAGAGTGAGTGACAGGAATCGATACAGGCTCAGACAGAGTTACTATTCCAAGGTTTGGAATAAAGTCCTAGTATATTCGTATGTAATGAAACCACCATACTTGTTCCTGTTAAGAAAATATTTATTTTCATCAAAGAATAAGAGTTTATGCCAGTTGCATTTCTACCCCAAATTTTCCTTCTTCAACTGCGTCTCTTAGTATTATATTTTTGGGGCTGGTGTATGAGAAAATATGTATCTGAAATAATGGTGGGTAACAGATGGCTTATTTTTGAGGCCCTGGAGCCATTTGCAGCTGTGATTGCTAGGAATTTGTGGCGTAGTTTGTAAAATATATATAAAAATGTATTAGAAACTTTAAAACAATCAGTTTTAACTTCCCAAACATGAGAGAATTGCAGCCCATGTCAATCAATAGACATATCTGATGTAGCCTTCAGCCACAAGGAATCCCCAGCCTGCAAACAGAAACTTAAATGACAAACCAGATAACAGTAGGATACATAATATGCATAATATACATAAAACAGCATGGTATGCATGAAAATCTGCAATAGTCTTTGATTTATACATCACAAGTAGAAACTGGGTTCAGTTTTTCTGTACTTGCAAGTGCACTGGGCAGTTTCCAAACACGATTCCTCTCCAAATCTTATTGCTGAAAAGATTTGTTTCTCTGTCACCTTGGTACACACTTCTTACAGTGCTTTGATTTAAATGATTATAAACATGCCTACCTAGAGAGGAGAAAACATTAAATTAAAAGATAGCATAGCATTTCTTAGAAGGAAAGAGAGTCTTTAAAGAATATCCCACAATTTTAATTTAAGAGGACTTCATGTAAATACTTCTACTTGACAGGCACTAGCGGAGGACTAGATTCAGTATGATAACTGGATTTCTACCAGATTTCCATTAATTAACAACATATGTAACATGTTAAAAAGATTTGGAACAGGAAAATACATTTGATTTTGATTCATGTGTACTGTATAGTACATGCTGCTTCTCACTAGGTTTTGTTGTCATTTTGGATGTACAGGCATATGACCATAATGACTTATGATCATAACTAAGCCCAAAATTTCAATTGCTAAGCAAGACAGTTGTTAAGTGAGTTTGGCCCCATTTTTATCACCTTTGTTTTGCCAGAGTTGTTAAGCAAATCATGTGTTCATTAAGCAAATTGGATTTCCCCATAGCTTGTTAGAAGATGGCTGAGAAGATTACAAATAGTGACCACACGATCTGAGATGGTGCAACTGTCATAAATATATGTCAAGAATTTTGATCACTTGATCACGGGGAGGGTGCAATGGTCATAAGCATGAAAAATGATCATAAGTCATTTTTTTCAGAGCTGTTGTAATTTTGAATGATCAGTAAATGAATGGTTGTAAGTTGAGGGCTATCTGTACATGCTTTTCCTAAAAGTCATATTTTATGGCATTAAAATGCCATAACAGTGGGATTCTTATATAAATAAAGCTTAGGTAATGCCAGAAAGAAGAAAAGGTTTTATAGCCATCGTTTGCAGAAGAGCCAACATGAGCAGCAATACAGCCATTTGAAAATGAAATACCGCACAAGCATGAGGAACACTACGACCAAATTCACAATTTAGTGCATGAGATCCAACTCAAGAGTTTCCTAGTACACAGATTATATGAAGGAAATAGCTGAAGTAAATTGTTATTTGTTTCAACTAAATATTCAAGACATTTGGATTTTTAAACCTTTTAAAAAGAGAAATCATGTGGGAAAGTGGGCCTGGAAATTAATATAGGACATTATTGATATTAAATGTAGCATATTTAAGGAGCTCTCATCTTGAATAAAAGATAACGTATGGATTGCTTAATGATGTACTTATTAAAAACAAAGAATATAAAACATAGAATAACACTGTTGGAAGGGACGTTGGAAGTCCTGTAGTCCAATCCCCTGCTTGAGCAGGAGATCCTATACCAGGGGTAGGCAACCTCGGCTCATTTATGACTCATGGACTTCAACTCCCAGAATTCCTGAGTCAGCATAGCTGCCCTATACCATTTCAGTCTCTTTTTGAAAGCTTACAGTGATGGAGTCCCCACAACTTTGGAAGGCAAGCTACTTCCTTGGTTGATTGCTCTCACTGTTAGGAAATTTCTCCTTAGTTCTAGGTTGCTTCTCTCCTTAGTTAGTTTCCAACCTTTGTTTCTTGTCTTATTTTCTGGTGCTTTGGAAAATAGTTTGACCTCCTTGTCTTTGTAAGAGCCCCTCAAATATTGGAACAATGCTATCATGTCACCCTTAGTCCTTCTTTTCACTATAGTACACATACTCAATTCCTTCAACCATAATAATAGTAATAATAATAGTAATAATAATAATAATAATATAATAAAAAGTTGGAGGGGATCTTGGAGGTCATCTAGTCCAACCGCCTGCTCACGCAGGAAACCCTATACCATTTCGGACAAATGGCTGTCCAGTCTCTTAAAAACTTCCAGTGTTGGAGCATTCACCATTTCTGGAGGCAGGTTGTTCCACTGGTTAATTGTTCTAACTGTCGGGAAGTTTCTCCTCAGTTCTAGATTGCTTCTCTCCTTGACTAGTTTCCATCCATTGCTTCTTGTCCTGCCCTCAGGCGCTTTGGAGTATAGCTTGACTCACTCTTCTTTGTGGCAGCCCCTGAGATATTGGAACATTGCTATCATGTCCCCCCTTGTCCTTCTCTTCTTTAAACTAGACATACCCAATTCCAACAGCCGTTCCTTATATGCTTTAGCCTCCAATCCCCTAATCATCTTTGTTGCTCTTCTCTGCACTCTTTCTAGAGTCTCAACATCTTTTTTATACCATGGTGACCAAAACTGGATGCAATATTCCAAGTGTGGCCTTACCAAGGCATTGTAAAGTGGTATTAACACTTCACGTGATCTTGATTCTATCCCTCTGTTATTGCAGCCTAGCACTGTGTTGACCTTTTTGGCAGCTGCAGCACACTGCTGGCTCATATTTAAGTGATTGTCCACTAGGACTCCGAGGTCCCTCTCACAGTTACTACTATTGAGCAAGGTACCCCCTATACTATACCTGTGCATTTGTTTTTTCTTGCCTAAATGCAGAACCTTACTTTTTTCACCACTGAATTTCATTTTGTTAGATAGTGCCCAGTGTTCAAGTCTGTCCAGATCATTCTGTATCTTAAGCCTGTCTTCTGGAGTGTTGGCTATTCCTGCCAGCTTGGTGTCATCCGCAGATTTGATGAGTTCCCCATCTACCCCCTCGTCCAAATCATTTTAGCTTACAGTCCTTATTGCTCTTCTCTGCACCTATTCAAAACATAGACTGCAAACTGAATATGAGCAAACAATAGTGGCTCAAAAAAAGTTACAAAAAGGGTACAATGTATCAAATGACCTTAATAATAAGTTAAATTCAATGTTAAGATATATCAACAAAAATGTGATTTTCACGTCTGCTTCAGTCTCATCCTACCCCAAGTACCGAGTCCATTTTGGGGACACATTTTAAAAACAATTCAACCCAACTGGAACAAGTTCAAAGAAAGATGATGAGGATAATAAGATGATTGTTATATGAAAGAAGATTGAAAGAATTGGATATGTTTAGCACTGAGAGAAATATGACTGAAGGACAGATCTTTGAACATTTCTTAAAGGATGTCACAAGAAGATGGCCAAGACTTGTTTTCTTTTGTGAAAATCATGAGACTAATGGCTTTAAGTCACAGGCAGGCAGATTCTACCTGATTGCTAGAAAACTTCCAAACAGAGCAGTTTTATCAGGACCCAGATTGTTGGGGGCAATGTAAATATATATATACATTGCTTACTGGTGTACACCGCTTAGAGAGTGCTCGCACTTAAAGTGGTATATAAGTCTCATAAATAAATAAATAAATATTATAGAGATCAACCCCTGTTTGAAATCCTTTAAAAAGGAAGGATTGTAGGCTCAGTGACTTGAATATTCTTTTTCTCCTTTGAAATTCTATAATTCCAAACAAGAAGTGTGTCATGCTCTCAAACTCGTATATTATATATATATATATATGAAATTTGTTCTTAGTTCTGAATTGAATCTCTCCTTGATAAGTTTCCATCCATTACTTGTTGTCCTGTACTCAGGTGCTTTGGAGAATAAATTGACCCCTTCTTCTCTGTGACAGCCCCTCAAATTTTGGAAGACAGCTATCACATCATCCCTAGTCCTCCTCTTCATTAAACTAAACATGCCTAC